TTATGTATTGAATCGTTGTGGATTATTTAATTGTTGCATCTATATTCAACTGCTCATGTAATGGAGAGAGTCTTGTGATATCCTTGCATTATATTTTATTGGGTGAATGCAGTAATTCTTTTAGTAATCGGAAGAAGCTAGTTGAATTGTTGATTAAACCTAGTTAGGAGGATAATCGAAAGAGATTCTCCTAAAGACCATTCCACTACGAATTCTTGCATATCTTCGCTGAACTTAATTTAGTTCATCTCGTGAGGTTGAGACTTAATCGAGAGAGGAGTTTCTACTAAACGTTTGAACTAATAATTGAGTAAATTCGAGAGACTCACTTGAACATTAGAAGTGAATTATCTACAGGTAAATCCCAAACAATTATCTTACACCTATCCTATCAAAACTCTATTTTCTCCCACTGATAACCGTCTTTGCTTGATTTTTGTTCGTTTGTCATAAGTCAATAACCGTAGATTCTTAGTTAATTGTAGTTTTTAATCACATAATTCTCAATTGTTGATCATCTTGGATAGAAACCAAGCTATTAACTACGAAAATTTTATTTAACTCCAATCCATGTGGATACGATATTCTATTATACTATATTCGACTAGCGAGCATATTTAAGTGTGTGCTTCGAGCTCGTCATATAGATTTGTTAAACAAACCAATCATATCAACTTGAACGAATTTGTTTCACCTTAAAATCATCATTCCTGATAGAGATGTATTGTCTTCATATGATCTTGTTGGAATCGTCATTCAATATCTTCACATAGGGATAAAGACTCTTGCTATCGTATTATCATGCTTATAGTTATAACAAGATACACATGTGCACAAATTGCACTTAGAATATGGTACTTCAGGATCAAGAATTATATATGCTTTAAGCGAAACTACATGTCTTTCATATGAAACCAGGTTGCGGGCTAATAATAATCGTACATGTAACCATCTCATAGATGCATCTTATGTGGTATACTTTCTAGTTCTTTAATATTTACCCATGTCAATTCTCTTTTATATTTGCACAACATGCTTAAATTAACATGGCTAAACCAATTATGCCAACTAGATAAATTGTCAATATTGATAAACTTTAGGTTTACACCATGACGTGTGCAATTATCAATAAACTCCAAGTTTATTATGATATGGGTTTTTATATCAATAAACTTCTACTTTATTGTGGCATTTTTTTATTTGTGTAGTACAAACTAGAGAATAAAGCGGGTAGCTTTTCACATACATATTACACCGCTACAAGTTGTAGTAATAAAAGATATTAAATCTTTCCTTTATTTATAGTCTCAATATAACCAATCGCTTTCGCGAATACTTTAGAAACTCAATACGTTTTTTTGAGACTTACTACGGCACCATACATTATTGATAATCAATTTTATTACTCCAAAGTGGTATAATCGGCTCTTCTAGAGCTTTCAATTAATTTTGTACTATCACATATTCATCAACATCCATATGGTGCATATCTCTTTCTAGGAGAAAGTTATACCATTATGGTCATGGTCAAAATTATTGTAGGCAAGATATGTTGCTTCTATTACTTTTGCCCTGTAATAATCACATTTCCATAATATTTTGGCATAATCACAATAGGTACGTGATCAATGACCATTCATGCCATAATAATAAAATTATTTTCTTATTTTATCTCAAATCTCTTTCTAGAGGTGAGTGTGGCATATTCACTACCACTAACACGTTCATATTCTTCCAAGAATGAATATATAGTCATAAGTCACATGTTGTCACATTCACATCATGAATGGACCATAATCATCTATATGTGATTTATAAAATCTTGTGTCAAATCGATGACAAATATTACTTTCACGGAGTGAAAGATTATTTTGAGAATATTTATTATTCTCATTACCACAATGATGATGATTATAATTTGGTCTATTGCCACGTCCATATCCATTGATACCTTCACGGTAGTAAGTTTATCTTCTTTCAGACTTATCACATACTACTATCATATTCTCTTAAGGGAAAGGGGAATGAAGCAAATTCAATGGGACGGGTTTTCACTTCTTGTGCCCATAATCACACATGAATTTGATTATGGCAAGATGTAAAAATTTTACCACTTCGGGTGGTTATAGTTTCTCACAAACTCTATTAGAGTTATAATCAAAATTTATTGTCTTTACTTCTATTTAAAATCAAATTTCAAGAATTTAAAGAGAAAAATAAGATAAAACACTTACCTTAAATCCGGAATAAAGAATTGATTCATGAAGAAAGTTTATGGAATAATTGACAATCATCAGGCTCAATATTATGTACAAGTTGAGCACCATTTGTATATCCCAAATTAAAATAATTGGTCTCTACTCGATTAAAATAACTGCCCTTTTACTCGATTGTTATTACTACTACTTCAATTAAGAAAACTAAAACTTGAAAAAGAAAACAATATTCTTTCGTAAATCTCGAGTAATAAGGAAACAATAATATTTTACTTTGAGCTATATACCGAAAATAATATTACTATATTTAAATTAAACGAACTAACACTATTTCATAAAATAAATACTACTACTTGATACTAATGGCTACTACTCATGTAATGAACTATGATTACATTATGTTTATTCACTAGCTATTACGAATAGGCAAAAATAAAAAAATCAAACTACTCAATCATCTTTAACCACGGATTTATCACCGATCAAGTGGTCTATTTTTCCATCAGGGTGCTCAAAGAAGTCTGTCATATCCAAGTGGGTGATGTCAAATTCATTGTTAGAGACAAAATTAGCTTCAGGACCTTTATTCTTTAAGGATGCTTGATAAAGCTCAACCAAATGTCTTGGTGTACGATAAATATTTGCCCAATGCCCTTTTCCACCGCAACGATAGTATTCAGCTTCTGAGCCCTTTGCCTTTGGCTTCTCATCTTTCCCTTTCCACTTTTGGTGGTTATTTTTCTTTGGTGGATGATTAAAACCAAGAAAATTTCTTCTTTGGCCACGACAACGGCCACGAACAGGGTCACGGCCTTTTCTACGCTTAGCATACCGAGAATACACTTCATCCACTTCAGGCAATGGTGTAGACCTAGTGGGTCGATTTTTATGATTTCTCATGAGCAAATCGTTATTTCGTTCAGCCATAAGGAGAAGAAAAATCAACTCAGAGTAATTCTTGAAACCTTTCTCTCGGTACTGCTGTTGTAAGACCATATTGGAGGCATGAAACGCTGTAAACGTTTTTTCAAGCATACCATAGTCAGTGATACTATCTCCACAGAGTTTCAATTTAGAAGTAATTCTGAACATCGCAAAATTATATTTAGAAACAGACTTAAAGTCTTGGAGCCTCAGATGAACCCAATCATATCGTCCTTGTGGAAGAGTGACCAACTTTAAGTTGTCAGATCTTTCAGCCATTCCACAAAATAAGTGGATCTTTGACTGTGAGATATTCTATTTTCAACCCTTCATCAAGGTGATGCCGCAAGAAAATCAAGGCCTTAGCACAGTCTTGGGTAGATGCTTTATTTTTATCTTTAATAGCGTCTCCAAGACCCATTGCATCTAAATGGATTTCAGCATCTAACACTCATGTTATATAGTTCTTGCCCGAAATTTCAAGGGCAACGAACTTTTTTTTCATAATTAAAAGAGGAGAAAAGGTATATCTTAATCTTCTCAAAGAGCTTATTGAGACGGTAGAGTCTCATACTGATAACGTGAAATGAAACAATAAAAGAAGAAAAATATTGTAGAAAAAAAATATTGTAGAAAAAAGTGGAGAAAGAGAATTCTTATTGATTTGGGATGAATTACCATGGAATAGAACTCCTCTATTTATAAGGGAACAGTAACTTAGCCACAAAGTAACAACCCTAAAATCTTACTACAGACACTCAGCTTAAATATAATTCTATTTATAACAATTTTCTTTTTCTCATAATTTAGGCCTGTATGGCTGTACCATATCTTCTAATATTATCCCTATGTTCTTTTAGTTGATTTTGAGATCACGGTATATAATTATTGATGATCAGAAGCAGCAAAAACAGTGGAAGAATAATGTTTGGAACGACGTCGTATACAGAAACAAGAGAAGATAGTTCTTATTACATTTCCAAGAACCTCTCCCCTTTCCGGTATCCAGCGTGGTGCCGTTGCTGTTGCTGCTGCGGCGGCATTTCCTATTTGCCGCCGTGAAAATTCGACGCTAATTGCCATTAATGGCCGTGTAATTAAATGATGACTGTTTAATTAACTTAATCAGGCTTTGTTTAAAAGATATAGAAAGAGGGAAAAAATGGGGATAATTTAACAAAGCACCGACGTCAGTATATAAATGAAGCTCAAGCAACGCGTAACTCGTAAACCGCGTAAAAGTCAGCGCCAAAATGACTTCTCTCTGTACTTTTATTTTGTTTGATCTCTGAATAAGTCCTCTCTGCCTTTGTGATTGTTTTTGGTGCGAATGAGTCTTTGATTAAACCAAAAACTCAAAATCGCCTACCTGCTTTATTTCCGAACTAACGGTGAAGCTTTAGATAGTCGAACAAATTTTTTTTTAAAAAAAAAATTTCTTATTTATATATGTGCTTTTTTTATAATAATTCTGTATAGATTCTGAATGTATAAATTTTATATAGAAAACAAAAATAAGAATCAATATAAATCCAAATTCATACAAAAATTTAACAGTTTCACTTTCGTATTCTGAACATCATTAGTCTTTTGAAATGGAGGAAGACTTCTTTGTCTCAAAAAGAATGAAAGGGTTCAACATAGGGAGAGTTTAATTATCCAACTTTAGAAGTAAAAGTAAATATCAATTTCTTAATTTATTTGGAAATAAAAATTTACATATACAAAAACTATACAAAAGTACTACTACTATCTAACTTTAGAACTAAAACTAATACGCCATGCAGCTACCCTCATTCTAAAAATGAAAAAGAAAAAACTTCCTCTAGCTAAACTGTTATATTGTCTTCTAGATAACAAGCCACTTAACGCAAAAATTGAGACCTCAATATAACGGTAAGTTTACAACTTTCTCAACACAAGTCGCACTTTTTTTGTGCACATATTAAGAAAAATTATTCATATGAACTGTTGAAGAACACAATGGTACTGTACCACGCTATTCAAACATAATATGAATACACGACACAAAGGACACATAAAACCTCAGGAAGTCTGTTCAAGAGCGGCATATAACTGTCAGTAACACAAAGCTCTCAGCAGTTTCAATACTCACATTGTGGAAAGGCTCAAATTACATTGTGTACACAAAATTAGAGAATGCCTAAGATGTTTTTTCTTCATCCGTGATCCATTGAGGAAAGCTCGGTCTTGATGAATCAATTCTGATAAGATGCTCATCCTCTGCGCCAGAATCATCACTCGAGTCCACTCTTGCGTGACTTTCTTCAATTGGTTCGCTTGGAAGTTGTATACGGATATTTTTATTCTCTCCTTGTGCTTGACCATTCTTTCGCAATGTGGTAGATCCTTCAGATCTCACAGAGACAAGTCTTTGTGCGCGATTCGATGGAAATTCTGGATAAGACTGACTGTGAGAGGTTTTAGCTTCACCAATTCTAGGAAAACTTCTGGCACGCCTTCTTGTGTCGCTTATCTAATAACCAAAAAGAGCAAGT